TTTGATTATTTTATGTTTTAAAATGCTCATAATTACAGGTACTTTAATTTTTGGAATATGATTATGTAATCCAGATTACTTGTAATCAGTTACTACCCAGCATGAACATTTTAGGTACTAATAAGTACCATTTAGGGGTAAACAAGGTACAAAGATGTACTTTTTAGCTTTTGTACCTTAAGGTGCCATCCCAATGACATCTTTGTATCTTTTTTCTTTCTTCTGAAAATGTAGCCTTGTGTTGCCAGACTTTTGATTTCAGCATGAAGTAAAACTGTCTTGAGCTGAATAACGACACTGTTGTCTCCTGTAGAGCTGCTTATAGCTGAATTAAGCATGTTTTATAATTGACAAACTTTACACTGTTATTGAACTGAACTGAACAAACACTGAGCTAAATTGAGCTGAGCAATGACGCTATTGTCTTTTTTTTTTTTTGAGCTGCTTTACAGCAGAATTTGTCTCATAATTGACTAACTGCTTGATTGATTCTATTTATTACTGTGAAGCTGCTTTCAAACTATTTGTATTGTATAAAGCGCTATATAAATAAAGGTCACTTGATTTTCTGCGCGCATTTGATTCTTCACAATCCAGTTTTTTGTATTCCGCCATTAGATGAATCTCAGAATTAAACGGTTTGTCAGAAATGCATAAGATGGTTATGGTGACTGAAATATTCTATTAATATAACGAAGCAAAAAAAAAGCACCACAGCTGCTCTTTTTGAATAGATGTTGCTTTGAAGTTCAATAACAGGACTTGTCGCAGGTCTTGTTTACCCATAAAAGACCATCGGCGTCGTCTTTGAGCCACCGATGTCATTTCCTCTGGAGTGTGGGATGTGCTAGTGACTTTCACACGGCCGTAAATGCATTGACAGACTGACCTGTGAGTCTAAGTTCTACTTTGATTTTAGCTCGAAAAATTGACTTTCCTTAATAAAAGGGAAAGTTCACCCAACAAAATGTCAATTCTCGTGTCATCCCAAACCTGTGCCTTTTTCTTCCGTCAAACACAAATCTTTTTTTTTTTTTTTTTTTTTTTTTTTTTAAATGTGTCAATGTTGTTTTCCTTTGTCCATACAATAAAAGTCAATTAGATCCCATATTATATAATACTCAAGTCTTAATAATTAATTTTTACACCATCAACCAATTTAATGATTTTACCATTTTGTGTTTTTTACAGTGCAATGAAGATGTTTGCACACGATAGAGGATTCATAGTTCTTCACGGATGAATGGACTGTTATTTTCCCACTAAACTGACTTGAATCATCTTTATATTACATGATACTTTGGTTTATATTTTAAAATATAATGCAAGAACATTTATAAGCATTTTATATGCATTGTTGATTACTAATGCTGCTTTGATCCTCAATATCTTTGACAAATGCATTTAAATCAACCATTGAAAAACAGTTTGTATTTAAAGCTTTGCATTAAAGCTAAAAGATATTCTTTTATAAACTTACATTTATTATGATTTTTCCAAACACGTCTAACCAAATGTGACTTGTTAATTGAAGAATGTGAATGACGTATATATTAAAACTCTCACCAAAGTATATTTGTGTTTTTAATGTATGAATGTTTAAAAAACAACGGATGCAGAATATATTTGTTGCTTTATATAAGTTTATTTTTTGAAGCTTACATATTTTCTCATGTATCATAACAATATTTCAATGTTTAAGGTAGCTAAATAACATTTTGAAGCCATATATTTTTGCTTGAACAATCAGTATTGGCAGAACAATATAATTACAAGGCATTCACTGGAAAGTCATTAAAACATATATGGTCTCAATCAAACATGGCTCCCATATAATATCAAGAGCATTCTGTCAGTAAATATTAACTGAGACCTTTCAACAGTCAACATGTCTATGTACAGAATAAGACCAGCCCCAGACATATTCATTTAGCAGCATCTGTGGTCACGTGGCATATTGTAATATGAGGGAGAATCTCACAAAACCTGCAAAGAACATGTCCAGGTCATATTTCAACCATTAAAAAAAAAATGTGTGTGTGTGTGTGTATATATATATATATATATATATTTGTTATTAATTTATTGGCTTTAAAAATGTTATAATTTTTACTAGTCCAAAAACAGGCTTCATTTTGAACATAAAGAGAAGTTTATATTAAGTTTATGGACATATGCCACCTACCTGTACTTTTCTTCTTTTGATTTTGTGGCGAAACGTAACCTGGACATGTTTTCATGAGATACATCTTTGGACTGAAAAATAAAATTTAAAAAATAACAACAGAATCTGTAAAACTGAATTGTGAATCATTCTTGTGTCTGACGAGTTCTTGGCATTGTTCCATAATGCACTGAAGAAAGTACATAATTCCTGATTTCATAATTCTAATTAATGTAATAATAATTATCAGCTTATTTCTAATGAAACACCTTGAAAACCAACTACACGCTGAATACACTGAAAATGCACACAAATGCTATTTTACAATTCACACTTGCCGAAGTATTTGATAGGTACTTATTTCTCTTTCAGGTCAGATTTCTTCAAGGCAGTCATATAAACAATCACAGAGGGTGATTTAATATATTTTAATTTCACAGGATACAAACTAGCAATTTTAAAATGAGATTTGCTCAAAAGCACACATCAGCAATCCTTGGCACAAATATGTTGTTCTTTAATGCGGTATAAAGAACAGGTAGTTCACATCACACCTCATTTTATTGGTTCTCAATATAACAAATGCCTCAAGGCCAGATAAAATGCACAAATAGGCGTATGGTTGATGTATGCGTGCTATTATGAAGTTGATAGTGTTGCGTATTCATATGTAACATATTTTGCCATAATGCACCTTGATAGCATTGTCATCATTGGCAAGTAAATCAACCGAAACGATGTTAAATACTGTACATTAATGAAACATTACAATACTGCACATTTCTCTTTGTACTTTAGCTCTAGAGCATAATATATGTGCATTATTGGCTGTCGTATTGTTTCTGAATCACACTGGATTCTGTCCACGCCAGTATCTGCCCTTATAAAAGTTCAAATCTTTCCAATTTCGATTTTTAATGAAGAGGCAGAGCTGCATTTCTTGTCTGCCAGGGTGTTGCATTGGAAAATGCATGCACTAATAATTGAGGGATTATGTTTTATTTGGCATTTCATCACTGTAAAACCCTTTCCGCCACCAAGGTTTTAATATTTAATTTGTTCCTAAGTTGCTTGCATTCAATATATCGCTCGCCTCGCGTGCATCAAACAGTATGTGCCATTACAGTGGTGTCCAGGTTTAGATTGGCTAGCAATGAAGCTTCAAAGGTAGATATGAACATTCAAATGATCAAAGTCTCTGTCGTGAGAGATAACAGTCATAATCAATAACCCAAGGCAAGCCAATATTGACTCCGCTATAAGCTTTCAGAAAACTTGACAAAGCATTTCTTCTCCTGACATCCGTTTGATCTTTTCCATCATCTTATTCTATCATTTTTCTTCTGTCCTGTACAGCTCTTTAGTTCTGCTGTCATTACTGCTTAATCAAGATGGAAAATAACAGTCACCAGTCTTGACCGGATCTCTAATGAGGGCCGCCTCCCCTAAAGTGTCGCTTCGTCCTCTACGCTCCAGCTAACACATGAACCCCTGCCGCCCCATTAGCTCACATCTCAGATCAATTTGTGAAATTACGAGATGTGACTTTGCCTAAAATCACAAACCCACTGGCCGAAAGATCCTTGAGCGAGACCTTTGCATAAGGAATCCTTTTGGTTACATATTCCCTGCTGGAAAATCATGGTTTATGTGCTTTTATAGTTAGTATAGATGGTTCATCAGCTGGGCATTGGTAGACCATCTTGGCCAGGCTGGTTAGTGTTGGTAGACCAGCAACAAGCCATGTTCTAAAAATTTAACAGTAAACTTTTGGTGTTACATGCCACATTTATGTACAAAATGATACATCCCCTGCTGAAAAATCAAGATTTTTTAATGTGATTTTATAGTTGGTTAAAACTAATCTAGATGGTTTATCAGCAGGACTTTGACCTGGTAGACCATCTTGGCCAGGCTGGTTATAGTTAGTAGACCAGTGAAAAACAGCTACCATGTTATAAAAACCAACTTAACCACTTTAATGTGGTATGACCTGTTTTTTCCACCAGGTTTAAGTGAACATTTACACCAGTGATCATATAAGCAAAAAAAATGGTGTAGATCAAGCTAGTCTAGATGGTTCATCAACTGGACTTTGACCTGGTCTTTTCCTAGCTGGTTAGAGTTGGTAGACCAGTAACAAACCAGCTACCATGTTCAAAACACCAAATGAATCACTTTAACTTTGTAAAACACTATAACCTGTTTTTCCAGCAGAGTTATGTGATGTGAACTAGGGTTGGGCCGATAGACGATGCCATCGTCCATCGCCGATGGCTGATAGACATCACGATGTGGAGCCGGCATCGTGATCCCCCCCCCCCCATACCCCGCAATACGCCGCATCCCAATGCCGTGTTCGGAAAGAAAATTACGTATATACGGAACCCCTAAAGGGAAATACGAGATGGGAGGAAAATTTAGTTTACTTTTTAGTTTCACTTTCACTTTCGAGATTAATGATCGCACCTAGTCTGTTTATACTACGGAGCGGCAGTACTTACCACTTTTACAAGATTATATGTTTATCAGTGGTGCTGAGGATCTGCAAATCATTCGCCATCGTCCTCAGTCATCTCTCCGTACTCTGTTTATGTGGTAAGTGAAATTTTATGTACTGTAATGTAACAGGCAACCGTTACACAGTGTCTACACCGGACGCGACAGATGTCGTGTCGCACTGCGCCGCATCAGCTAAAGTCTGTCTACACTGGACGCGACAAAGCGACCGTTGAAAATTATTTGACATTTGTGTCAGCACATCATAAATAGAATGTGGCAACAGTTTACTGTCGGGATTTGTCGCATTGCGCTGCGCCGCATCCAGTGTAGACGGCATCACTGATTATGAGTTCTATACACTGATCTATATATAATGAATCTCTATTATAGATCAGTGGATCTATAGTATTTTGCCGTGCCGCTCGCGTCCGCTGTTGACACGGTGTTAGGAATTCGTTATTTGTTTTCCATGCCTTATAAGGATTCACGCTTTGGGCACGCCCCCTAACTCCCCACGTCAATGTCATCGTCCATCGCGATGTTTCACTGTAGACATCTTTCGATGCCAATTTTGTACCCAACCCTAACGTGAACATTTACACCAATGACCATAAGCAAACAAAAAAATGGTTGTAGAGTATTAAAACTAATTTGTGAACAAATATTGATTACAAAATGTGTTGCTTCAGAAAATGATCTTGATCTGATAAAAAACAAATACAAATTCTATTTCTGTATCTTAATGCTTTAACTATGTTTTTAAGAATCCCGAATAAAAACCAAACCAGGAGGATTGAATGGTTAAAGATCCCTCAGTTTTAATACAACATGTCTCTCTAGATCCGATTCTTGCCCCTAAACATGCTAAAACATTGTGTTAACATTCGCAATGAACAGAAATGCTCTCTGGCTGAATGAACAGCTTGTATGAAACAAACAAACAGTCTGAGTGACCCGTTGCATCTAATTCATTCCCGTATTGCAGCGGCTTCCTGCCATTATCTGCTGGCTTTAACAGAAGTCTGTCACGTAATTGCAAGGCAGCCATGAATCGGGGCTATTTATGGACAAAAACACACAAAGCCTGAAGCGATATGGTTTTAACAGTCTTAAGGTTGTCGTGTAGTTGTCAACACGGGCCCTTTTACATAACGCTAAGCCCTCGATTTTAAAGAATGACAGATTCTCGTAGCTCGCACATATACATTGGGATTATTTTGTGAAAACAGCGCTCAATAGGACTCCAGCTTTTGCCTCTTTCCGCTGCATGCTTTAGAAAAGAAAAGAATAATTTCTTATAGCATAATCAAAATATTTTAAGGCTGCTTATTATGAAACGAAACATGATGCCTTGACTGGTTTCTATTCAAACCACAATCTCTATCGGCTTCCAAGCCTCCAGTTGTTAGCTGTTTTTGGGTCGCTTAAGCAAAATTGACGTAATCTAGCAAAATCTGGTGTCAATAAGCCCTCCCGTTACAATGAACTATTGTGTTTACACATGTTTTTCAATGACAAAATTAATAATGTGTCAAAAGAAACCTGTAAATATTCAAACAGGACCTATAGATAATGAAAAAGCATGCCTCTTTTTCAGAAAAGCAACACCCTCAGTGCACGTTCACGACGCCTACACTTGTTGGTTATATGTGCGCATTTGAAAGTTCACAGTAGACATCTATGCAGTCACACATGTAGGTGTCTAACACCTTTGTCGTGTCTGTCATATCAGACTAACAGACAGGCAGCTGCCACAGCACAACATAATATGATCCAAGCTCTCCTAACCGCTGCCTGGTTCGTATAATATACACAGACTCCCGTAACTTCACCGGCAGGTTACCACACTTGACATTTCTCTTCGGGGTTCATGGGAGTTCCTCGAGCACAATGAAATGCTTCAGAAAATGCCTCAAAGTTCTGGAGGGACCCTAGAACCCTGTTAAAAACAAAATAACATGGCACTCAATCAATTATAAAACACCTACAGCAGACCTAAAAACTATTTAGACACTAAAAAATGTCTGAATGTCTTCAGAATTTTTGCTCACTGACTTTGAAAAAGCTGTGTTTTGCTTAAAAATATTGTAATAAAATATATGTATTACATATTATTCTCATATCTATAAAAAATCGGTTAAGGAAAAAAAAGTTGCTTTGTATATGTATAATATAAAGTACACTACCCTTCGAAAGTTTGGGGTCAGTAACTTTTTTTTTTAAAGAAATGAATACTTGCATTCAGCAAGGACGCTGAATTCAACTGATCACAAGTGACAGTACAGACAATTAAAATGTTACAAAATGTTTGTATTTAAATAAATGCTGTTCTTTTGTACCTTATATTCAGCAAATAATCTTGAGAGAACTGTTAAGCAGCAAAATATATGAAGCAGCACAACAGTTTTCAATACTGATAACAATCAGAAATGTTTCTTGAGCGGCAAATCAGCATATTAGAATGATTTCTGAAGGATCATGTGACACTGAAGACTGGAGTAATGATGCTGAAAATACAGCTTTGCATCATGGGAATACATTATATTTTAAAATATATTCAAATAGAAAACTGTTATTTTAAATTGGAATAATATTTTACAATGTTACTGTTTTTACTGTATTTTGAACAAATAAATGCACCCTTGGTGAGCATAAGTGACTTATTTTAAAAACATAAACAAAAAAAGCATCTTACAGACCCCAAACTTTTAAACAGTAGTTTTAAGATTCCAGTTCAAAGCCAAGTTATTTTTGCTTTTTGTTTTTGCTTGATTTTTCCAAGTGTGTTTAATAGCTTGTGCTAACCATGTTATCTAATGCACTGCCATGCTTAAGTATGACTTAGATTTTCATCTTTAATTGACAAATCTCGCAGAAAGATCTTGCCTGTATTCCAGAGGGCTGTGTGGGTCAGTTTTGATGGACTGAATGGCGTACTCAGGGCGACAGGCACCACACCAGACCTACAGAAAGCATGAGACATTTTTATATTCAATAAAAATAACCCAATAACAAATGAACACATTTTAACATGGAGTTGTTTTACCTAACTTGCATTTTATGCTTGAATGTCATTTGCAGAACAGATTTTCTTTTGAGATTCTTTATATGAACACATATTTTTGAAATGTGCCTGTCCAAATAATGACATTTCAAATCCAAGTCCTTCAAAGCAGCACTCATCCCATCGGATGGCATGATTCAATGACTGATTTCATGCCTTAAGCACATATTAGAGGTTAAGCAGCACCTGTATCTTTTAAGCAGTGTCAGTTTAATTTGATACGCTCTTTGTGAGACTGACCTTGCATGGGCATCAAGGTGAGCACATGCAGGCGTCCTAAAGTGGATGTCATTCATACCTGGGCAAAGTTTAGAAAGAAGAGCTGTTTGTGATCCATTTCCAGTCCGGGAAGACGTGGCTCCTCACCCTCCCTCTCCACCCACTTCATATACGCCTAATGTCACACACACAACAACAAGATTTTTAATATGTAAGCACTTCTCACTGTGTTTCTAGTTGTTTCTAGGGATTTAATTCTACAAACCTTATATGCTTGACGAACGCCACCGTTGTCGGCAATATTCTCTCCTAGTGTTGTGATGCCACTGACCTGCAACAACATTAGTGTAACAATGTTCAGTGTTATTTATATATTATTTATATCATATTATAGTATTTACTAATATTTTAAGTCAGCTTTTAATTTAATATTTTCAGTGTTCTTTTTTAAAAAAAAATTGTAATTCTTGTACTTGTTGTTATTAGTTTTATATATATATATATATATACTTTAGTACTTTTTTGTTGTTGTTGTTGTTTTTAAGTTTAGGTTTTTCATATATCTAATATTTTCTTTTATTTCAACTTTATTTTGATTAACAAAACTAAGTTTACAATAACAGCACTGTTTTTATAGTCTTTATTTGTTTTGATTTTTTTAGGAGGAATAAAAAAGATTTGTTTACGGACTGAGCTATAAAATGAACACTGCAAAAAAAGATTTTCTTACTTCGTATTTTTGTCTTGTTTTCTAGTATAAATACCTAAACATTCTTTAATTAAGATTTTAAAAAATATATCTGTCAATGGGGCACGAAAGAAAAACTTGTTTTCCCTTTGAATTAAGATTAAGATTTTTATTACCCCTTTGGCAGATATTTTTTCTTAAGCAAAACAAACAAATTTTGTATACATTTTTTCAGAAAACAAGACTTAATATTTTAAGTCATTTTACTTCTCAAGTAAATGTATCTTTATTTAGGAATGTTTAGTTATTTATACTAGAAAACTACAAAAAATACAAAGTAAGAAAATAATTTTTTAGAGTGAATGTGTATATTATAGTTGGATATTATAGGTTTTGGAAGAATTGATAGACTTTGATGCTGTGGCAAATCTGAATACAGATTAAGACATTGCTGGCATATTTTATGAAAGTCAGTAAAAGTATTTAAACATCCTTAAAATAACCAAAATACAGAGAATGCAGTGAATACATTACCAAATTTACAAAAAAAATCAATAAATATAGCACAAAAAATGCCAGTGGGGTAAGCAAATATGACTACTAAATAACGAGTCATTTTCAATGTTTGTAAAAACATTTTAATTTAAACATTTCGGTCTAGTTTTAAAATCCATTCATTTTTAGTGGCTAAAAAAAATTATTTTAGTTTCAAGAATTTATACAAAGTAATTTTTTTGCTTGACCAACCAGCAGATTTTTTAATATATATATATATTTTTTTTATTTAAGGGCAGTGGAAATGCTTACTTTGGACCCAAAGCAAGCATATACTACAAGTACTGGAAGTACAAACCATATATTTGTTATTTGTTCATTTTTAAAAGTTCATATACAGATTCTTTCCATCCTACTGAGTAAAGTTCAGCTTACATTTTGGCCTCCTGCAAGTTTCCAGCTGAATTTGCCGTACTGCTCCACCATGCATTTAGATTGATCCTCAAAGCGCTCGGCAGAGGAGTTGCTCCACCAGTTGTTCATGTTCCCATCCTTGTCAAAATTGCGGCCTGTGAAAATAAATATTTCTTTTTTTGGATCACAGTCATATTCTAAACAGACAAGCTTTGTGGTTGCTGGTTTGGTCAAATGAAGAACAATTTATCCTTGATATTTAAAACCCATCCTTTAGCGCAGAGTTTAATACATCACACATAAACAAGATTATCAACACTGTTTATTCAGCCACTGCTAACTGATAATTGGTACAATCCATCAGATGAGATGCATATTACCATGATCGTCAAATCCATGAGTGATTTCATGTCCTATAACCATCCCAATTCCACCAAAGTTTAAAGCTTGCAGCTGTTTTTCACTGAAGAACGGAGGCTGGAGGATGCCAGCAGGAAACACTGAAAGAAAGATGGATGCATAGAAAGAGATGAAATCAGCATAATGCCTGGGTAATTGACCAGGAAATGCGTTTTTGAGATACTAATTGAGTGACATGAGAAAACAACTCATTTTAACAGTAACAGTGTTAACTTTGGACACTTTTATGTCATATTTTTCATTCAAACTAACAGGTTTAAGCTTTTTTTTTCTCAGAATTATTCTGAAGGTCACATTAAAATTGGGTTTTGTTTTTGTTTTGTTTTTTGTTTTTTAACCAAGACTATATTTACACTTGTCCTAGACACAAACTTTCAAAATACTATATTTGATGTTAAAAAAATAATGCTTTAAATATGACAATTTATCATTATATATTTATATTATTTATATATATATATATATATATATATATAGGAATGAGATTCACCTCTGTGGGTCTCAAGACTAACGCTAAGACGAAAGATGTGAAGCACTTTTACATGAGGACTGCATCAGCACTTTAGGAAACAGTGCTTTAGGACACACCCACCAAATATGGAGAGAGACTTTATATTATTTATATATATATATATATATATATATATATATATATATATATATATATATATATATATACACACACACACACACATTTATATTTAATGCATGATTTGTTATATATGCATGTATGAATTCTGATTACATATATTTTATATATTTTTATATTTCATTATTGTGTAAAAATGATTTAAATCCGTTACCAGTGCTAAGTTGTGGCATCAACCAACAATTTTGTCCCTAATAATGTTAGTTTCAAAGGTTAGCTACTTTTTTAACAATAAGAACGCAAATGTCAACAATGTGGTACATGAGACATGTTAGAAGAAAACACAAAAATGGAGGTAAATATTACTAAATATTTTTACCTTGCATCATTTTCAATCAAGCCATGCAAACGCTCAGTCAAACTGTGCAAAACGTGTTATAATATAATATAAATGTATGCATTTAAAGATTAGGGGTTTGCAGTATCGACCAAAAATGATATCTCAATATAATTTAGTAGGTGGCGGCAAGTGCCTGTAAGGAGTGATTAATTGAGTCATTCATTCAAATGATTCGTTCAAATGGCTGAATCATTAAGAAACAAAGCAAGTGACTGTCTTTATAAATGGATCATTGAATCATTGACTCAAATGATTAGTTCAAAAACAGATGTGAATGAAACAATGCAGTATTTCTCTGAGAAGCGCAAATGTTATTAAAAGACAATATTGTGTCTAAAATGTAACTCACTCAATATTAACTTCTTGTTTACTTGCTTTTGTTGAGCTATTGTATAAAATCAATATCACATTCACTAATGTGCTGATATTTGGGAAGACGGCACTCTTGCTTGTGTCATATTACTAAACTATATAATTTCTTATAAATATAAAAAAAAACATACAGGGGTATTTTTTTGCTTTCATAACTTGAATTATAGTTGGCATTCTGATTGCATTCAAATAGGCTTTATCATGCAGTGAATGCTTTTGGAAGCTCAAGACGTAATTTGTAATAAATTTGTAACGTAATTTCTTTGTTTTTTGCAAAGCGAGTGACATACTCCATAATGTCAAGTCGCACATCGTTAAAACAACAATTACAGTATTACCGTAGACGATAATCGCACACCCCTAGGATACATTCTAGCTATAAAATTACCCGTAACAAGACAAAGGAGTTTTCCTGTTTAAATGTTTAAGCTGTCATTTCCATCACAGTGTGAATGGTCATTTGAGATCTTTAACTAGTTCAGAAAAATAACAGTTCAGACAAAAATTCAAAAGATAGTGGAATTCATGTTATCAGATACTAAAAACAGTGTGAAAAGTGCTTTTAAAGAGTCTCCACAAGACTCTAAAGTGCCCGTAGCTGAAGAAACGCTTAAATAATGTGATGGTAATGGTGTATACTAGAGCGCAGAAGCTATATTAGAAGGACAGAAACGTCTCTGCTGTGTATCGTCCTCCAGCTATACCAGAGCTAGAAATGACACTGTGCCGACAATTACAGCTGCCGCTCTTGTCTCTCAAATGGCAATTCAGCTTGAAGTGTTTCCCGGATTGTCCAGGAACATTAAAATGTGCAATCTAAGAGTAATTATGTGGAAATTTCTCCTGCTGAAAATCTGCATAATCACTTGGCTTTTGTAATCTCTGTATTAACCCAGCCTGAGTAGCGTGCACTCGGCGTCCGCAGTCCATCTCTGGAAGCACAAGCTTTGTGGGCAGTGGAGCTTGAAACTAGCTTTGTTTAATCTACAAGAGAAAAGCACTACAGGCATTAGAGCCATTATGACAATGGGCTGAAAAAGCGTTCATACTGAGAGCCCTCAACAGCTTAGGAGAAATCTGACCAGAACAAATACTTCACAGAAGACCCCCGTTTGGACAACGCTGCTGTTTTTAGTTTGCGGATGTGGAAGATCCATTTAGGCCACTGTGAATCTCAATGCTGGACTAGACTGGTCTGTGCTGGTCTAGCTAGTGGACCTGGAAAGGCTCTTTGCTGTAGATATACAGGAAGGATTTCTTAAGTGGAGCTATAATAGTGTGCGTTCAATGTTTTGTATGATTTTCATGCTTTTTTTTACTAAATTGTCCATTTGTGGTAAATTGATGAAAGAAAATTATTTATATTATAGAATACAGAATAGATTATATTATAGAATAAAATTTGATTTCTTACTAAATGTCTGTGAACTTACAAGTCTGGTTTGGTTTGTGTAAGTACAATGCGTTTTTATTTTTTTATGCATTAAATTTTTTTTTTATTATTATATATTATATAATGTTGTATATTATGTTAAAAAATAGGATATTATTTCTGACTATATGGCTGTGAACTTACCAGTCCGGTTTTTGTTGTGTTAAACACATTATTTTTGTAATTTATTAGATTTTTTTACATGTATTATTTATGTATTATTATATATTACATAATATATTATATTATATTATACAATACAATATTATTTCTGCCTTTCTAACTTACCAATCTGTGTTCTGTTGTGAGAGTTAAACAGTTTTATTTTTGCAATTTATTTAACTTTTACATTTATTATCAATTTATTGTTATATATTATGTAATATCCTATATTATATTACAGAACAGAATATTCCTGCTGATTATATGTCTGTGAATTTACCAATCTAGTTGCTGTTGTGAGAGTTACACTTTTTTTTTTTTACATTTTACAATTTTACATTTATTATAAATTTGTTTTTATTATATGTTATTTAATATTCTATATTATTCAATAGAATATTATGTCTGTCTATATGGCTGTGAGCTTAGAAATATGGTTTCTGTTGTGAGAGTTAAGCACATTTTTATTTTTGCTATTTATTTCATTTTTAAATGTATTATTAATTTATTATTATATGTTATAGAATATTGTATATTATATTATATAATAGAATATTACTTTTGACTATATGGCTGTGAGCTTACCAGTCTCATTTCTGTTGTGAGATTTAAACACATTTTTATTTTTGTAATTTATTTAATTTTAAAATGTATTATTAATTTATTATCATATTATACAATTGAATATTATTTTTTATTATATGGCTATGAATTTACCAATCCAGTTTCTGTTGTGCGAGTAGAATGCTTTTTTTGTTTGTTTATTATTATATATAATATAATATTCTATATTATGTTTTATTATATTATGTAATATTATTTCTGACTTTATGGCTATGAATTTACCAATCTGGTTTCTGTTGTGTGAATAGAAAGCGTTGACCACAGCCGCACCAATAATCCACCTAAAACATTCACAGAGACAAAGAGAATAACTTAGTGACGGGTCACGAGAGAAAAAAAAACTCATTCTAGCATTTATTTATTTATGTTTCGTACATGTCAGGATCCACGGGCTCCCTCAGCTTTTTATGACCTTTCTGGGCAGAGGCTGCCAGGTTTTCCAGAATGTTCTCAAAATAGTTCTCCTCACTGAAATTCAGCTGTGAGCAGACAGAGAGAGACAGATAATCACACAGAAGCATTTCTGTCCAAGCTGCCATCATTCATGTATTCAAGTCAATGAGATATTAGTTGGTTTGGATGGTCATTTCTTTAGAGGTCAAAGTTCTCTGAGTTTCCATACATGTGTGTATTCCTCGTCCAGTTTCTTATTTTCCTCTTCAAGGATGTGGTCGGGATAACCGATCTGTTCTGATATTGCCATGGCCTGCAAAACATGGAAAACAGGCGTTTGGAAAGAGAGAACAACTTGTAGATAGTAGGAGCAATTAATAATAATACATTTACGTTTAGTCATTTAGCAGACGCTTTTATCCAAAGCGACATACAAATGAGGACAATGGAAGCAATCAAAATCAACAAAAGAGCAATAATATACAAGAGCTATAACAAGTCTCAGTTAGCTTAATGCAGTACACGTAGCAAGGGTTTTTTTAAATAATATAATAAATAAAAAGAAAACAGATAGAATACAAAAAGATTAGAAAGCAAGTGTTCCTTTTTTTTTTTTTTTTTAAACAAAGCAGACGCTTTTATCCAAAGCGACATACAAATGAGGACAATGGAAGCAATCAAAATCAACAAAAGAGCAATAATATACAAGAGCTATAACAAGTCTCAGTTAGCTTAATGCAGTACACGTAGCAAGGTTTTTTTTTTTATAATATAATAAATAAAAAGAAAACAGATAGAATACAAAAAGATTAGAAAGCAAGTGTTCCTTTTTTTTTTTTTTTTAAACAAGCAGCAAATGAATAGAGTGCAAGTCTAAAAGGGACAAGTGTTTTTTTTTAAAGAATAGAATTAGAATACATATTATTAATAATAATAATAAACTTTATTGTTGAAATAACACCTTTCATACAAGAAATTCAGCTTGAAGTGCTTTACAATAAAAACAAATAAAAATAACTTAATTAATATAACATAGTATTAAATATGAAACCCAGATTATAATGATAATAAAACTGATGTTTTAAACTGATGTATGTGAGGGAACTGCAGAGGAGTTGTGAGTTGATAATTATGCTAATAATCAATGAAATCATAAAAAAATCTAATGTAATAAATAAATAATTTATATCAGTAAATAATTATCAAAATAAAAATCAAAAATTTCTTATCACCACTGGGTTTTTATAGAAGTTGATAAAAAAAATCATAATTATTAAAATGAGCATTTATATACATATATATGATGAAAATTACAGGCCTCTCTCATCTTTTAAGTGGGAGAACTTGCACAATTGGTGGCTGACTAAATACTTTTTTGCCCCACTGTATATATATATATACTTTCATGTCATGTGTCCATTAACCAACATCAGCGAGCCATGAAATTATGAATATAAATTATTGAAATATTAACTTAAAATTTCAGAGGGTACTTCAAGTAAATATTTTAGGTCAAATGTGTTCAGCTGACAAAAAAGAATGGAAGACCCTAGGATAAAGGAATAAACTCCAGAAATAAAAGTACTTCATCACACTCTAAAAAAAACAATTCTGAAATTCTGAGATTTTGCTATTTCAACTTATTTTTAGTTAAAAAAAATTTTGTAGACATAACTAATTTTGTATAAATTGTCCAGACAACATGAAAATGTAAGTTTATTGGCCCTCAACTAATCTGAAAGTTGAATGAACTGTAACTTGTTTCAAATCAAAAGCGCATGTTGAAAAAGCATGCAGTTGCATCACACCGAAAAAAAATTAATATAACAAAAAAGGCAGCAGGCTAACAAAGTTTAAGTTGACTCAACAAATAGTTTTTTTTACAGTGCTGGAGTTATGGCCATTAATAGCATCTGACCTTCTCCCTGGCTTTTTCCTTGGACCGTTCATCCATCCAGCTCAGTTCTTCCAAAGTTTCCACATAAGCGTCCTGAATCTTTTTGATGAGTTCACGCACCTGAACAACAGTGCAGAGACACATTTAAAGTCAACATTACAACACTTTTTAAACTCGTTATCATATAGTTGAAATAGCTTTTTGCCTATTGGTTATATAGTTGGCAAATCATGAAATTATATGGAGGCCTATGTGACGTCTGCTGAAAAGGATAGTTGTTTTGATGAAATGATGAAAACAAACCTATTTATTTCTTCAGAATAATATGCATGGATAAATCATACACAATAAGACCAGAATTAAGAACATAAAAAGGTGCATTTTGATTGCTATTGCTATTTGACTGTCCTAGAAAAACTATATAAAGTTTTATATATGCCATGCAGAGTTATATCAAATAATTTAGGATCATTCATCCTAACTTATACGGAGTTGACTTACTGTCAAATCGCTGAAATCATCATCAGAACCGATAATAGCCAATTACATGAAGTTTTGAGGGAGGATGTTCCTGTTTTTTCTAGTGGTGTGTTTTTGCAGGCCAGTTTGGTGTTTTAGTCTTACCATGCGTTTGCTGTTTCCAGAGAAGGTCTCCCGGACGTACAGGGCCCCGACGGCGTTCTCCATGTTGCCCTGGACATAACGGACACAGTCTCTCCACCTGGCCTCCTCTACTGTAGTGCCATGCAAAGCCTGAGGGAACACACAATGCAACCAAGAAAAATAAGACCAAAATAAGGTTGAGAAACCCCTATATTAAACATAAATATAACCTAGTGGACTAAAACAGTAACAGACCACCAAAACACAGTTTTTAAAGCAGTGTTAAATGCCACGAGAGCTCTCCTGTGTTTGTGTTTTGTTCAGAGTGAGGCTGACCTTTCTGTAGTGCGCTCTCACGTCTTTGAAGCGCCGGCTCATACTGCTGACCCTCTCCATGATGAGCATCCACGCCAGATAGTTCTGCAGAGTCCTGCAGAGATCACATGTGTGCTGATCATTTAATGCCATCCAGCAAGATATACTATGCAACTTGTACATTTTTATATTTACATTATTTTAATTTACAAATTTTTTAATACAATATATATATATATACAGTATATATACAGTATCTCACAGAAGTGAGTACACCCCTCAAATTTTTGTAAATATTTTATTATATCCTTTCATGTTACAACACTGAAGAAATGACACTTTGCTACAATGTAAAGTAGTGAGTGTACAGCTTGTATAACAGTGTAAATCTGCTGTCCACTCAAAATAACTCAACACACAGTCATTAATGTCTAAACCGCTGGCCACAAAAGTGAGTACACCCCTAAGTGAAAATGTCCAAATTGGGCCCAATTAGCCATTTTCTCTCCCCGGTGTCATTGTGACTCATTAGTGTTACAAGGTCTCAGGTGTGAATGGGGAGCAGGTGTGCTAAATTTGGTGTTATCGCTCTCACTCTCTCATACTGGTTACTGAAAGTTCAACATGGCACCTCATGGTGAACTCCATGCCCAAGAGGGTTAAGGCAATGCTGGAAAATAATGGTGGCCACACAAAATATTGATACTTTGGGCCCAATTTGGACATTTTCACTTAGGGGTGTACTCACCTTTGTGGCCAGCGATTTAGACATTAATGGCTGTGTGTTGAGTTATTTTGAGTGGACAGCAGATTTACACTGTTATACAAGCTGCACACTCACTACTTTACATTGTAGCAAAGTGTCATTTCTTCACTGTTGTAACAGTGTTGTAACTTCTGTGAGATACTGTATGTATGTATATATATGTATATATATATACTGTATATATATATATATATATATATAAACATAACAAAATTATTAAAGCAAATTCAAATAAAAACTTACATTTAATTTTAATAAATACTCTCAGTACTCAATGCTTTGGATTAAAGCACCTGTCAAATGCATAAATCTAAATGATTATTAAAGTGTAGGAAGAAAAAATAATAATAAATGAGATCTCAATCGTGTCTAAAACTGAAATAAAAATGAATAAAAACTAAATGGAAATATTTTTTAAAAATGAATAAAAATAACAGAAAAACAACAAAATGAGTAAGAGTATTTAAGACTATATTTTATATATATATATATGATTAAATAATAAATGAATTAATATTATGATAGCTTGCATGCAATTTAAGGATGCAATGTTTGGACCAAAGCATCTGCCATACATAAATCTAAATGTATATTAAAGTGTAGGAAGTGTAGGAAAATTAATAAATAAGATCTCTTTAATAAGTCAGGTGTGTCTCCTAGACAGCAACTGAAATAAAATGTAAAAAGTATATAAATGAAAACACTTCTATAATGACAAAAACACAGAGCAAAATTACTTAAATCATAAACTAAAATGAAAACATAAAAATGAATTTAAACTAATTAAAAAATGTAATAAATACTATAATAGCTTGAATGCAAGTAGCTTTGGATAAAAGCATCTGCCAAATACATAAATGTAAATACATATGAATAGTGTGTGGGGGGGGGGGATCTAAATGAGATCTCTTTAACAAGTCAGTTGTGTCTCCTGACAGCAATGAGATTAAATAGAGCGCGGGTGGAATTAGAAGAAATCTCAACAATATCTTAACCTATGTTCAAATACTTGCAACTTAAATCTCAATATAAACTCAAATATTCATTCAATATCAAATTCTCTACTCTTATGCTCTTATTATTATTACTAATGACATGACAATGAAGAATTAACTGACATTTTTCGTGTGTCAAACAGTTACATGATCTAAAACATCACCTGTGACTGTGCTTGGAAAGAACATCTCTGAGCTTCTCCAGATAAGGTGAGCAGTACACAACTATGGGTTCGTCTGGTTGCACCGTTACTGACACGCTAGACATGATACCCTGGACATAGCGCGTCCAATTAAAGCCCTGAAATTTCATAAAGAGATACAATAGAAATGTGTGTACTCTAAAATCAAGAAAATCACAATCTTATATCAACAGTCAGTGACCATCATTCGGACAAGTAGAGTGTTCCTCTGTCAACATCCTTGTTCACACAGGAATCAGTACGAAACACTGAGAGAAAAAATAGTGCACAAAAATAAAAAATAAAAAACATGACTGAATTTACTTTGAATAAAATTTTGGTTTCTAAAGACTGATTGGAAATCGTGACATTAATCACAATAATTTTGTTCTATTAACAGTCATCGTTTCCCTTCAGATTTTTTTTAAGAATTAACTGACATTTTTCGTGTGTCAAACAGTTACATGATCTAAAACATCACCTGTGACTGTGCTTGGAAAGAACATCTCTGAGCTTCTCCAGATAAGGTGAGCAGTACACAACTATGGGTTCGTCTGGTTGCACCGTTACTGACACGCTAGACATGATACCCTGGACATAGCGCGTCCAATTAAAGCCCTGAAATTTCATAAAGAGATACAATAGAAATGTGTGTACTCTAAAATCAAGAAAATCACAATCTTATATCAACAGTCAGTGACCATCATTCGGACAAGTAGAGTGTTCCTCTGTCAACATCCTTGTTCACACAGGAATCAGTACGAAACACTGAGAGAAAAAATAGTGCACAAAAATAAAAAACATGACTGAATTTACTTTGAATTAAATTTTGGTTTCTAAAGACTGATTGGAAATCGTGACATTAATCACAATAATTTTGTTCTATTAACAGTCATCGTTTCCCTTCAGATTTTTTTTTAAAGAAATTATTCATTTTATTTATCAAGGATGCATTAAACCAGTGTTTCCCAACCGGGGTGCCGTGTAAAAAAATTATTTTGTAATATTTTTAAATTGCTAAAATGGTCAAAAAACATCTATTATATAATATAAATTTCTGATGTCGCCAATAATTAGAGATGCACCGAAATTTCGGCTGCCGAAAATTAGTTCACCGCTCAAGTTTCAATTTCACGTGGTGTGACCCTATGGGTGTGACGCTCTGCGTATTATCTGCTCTATGCGTGTGCGCTCCGCTCAGTCGCTCCACTCGTATACCATTCATGCTCATCGGAACAGCAAAGTCCACTCAAAAATCAAGCTGACAGGAAACATCTATGTAGTATTGTTTCTGTCTGCAATAGCCCTACTGTGCTGTAACAAGGTGTGGTATATGGGCATCTCTGGTAACGCTGCCCTCTCATTCATTGATCTGCTAACCGCTGTTATGTTATGAATGTTATGCTCATGTGTTCTGATAATAATAGCTTTCTAGGACTAAACATTATTTGGATAATTGGTAAAAAAAACGTTATTTTTTATTTGTGCTATCATTATTAATTTCTTTATTTTTTCTTATTTTATTACTGACTGCTTACTTGTCATTTTTTATTCAATTCAAAGTTTGAAATCAAGCTATCTCGTGCTACTGCACCAAAAATACCCTACCGTAAAATAAATAGAAACACTGAGTGAGCAAGAATTTGTGAAATAGCTAGTTATAATGGTAATTAAATAATGTTTACATATGTATAAAAGCCTACATTAAAATCTGTATAAATTGGTCTCTTCATTAGACATTAGCCTACTGATTGCCACCTGTCACGAATTCGGTCCATGGACTTCCGTTTATTCACCACCAGAGGTCACCCTTTCCTTTACATTGACTCTCGCACAACACAAACTGTTGCATAGCACCCCGGACTACATATCCCATCATTCATTGCACGATTTGCACACTGCACTGATTGCACTCATTGCGCACAGCTGTTTCTTATCACCTCACTCACTATATAACACCCACTCAAACCACCTTTCTCGGCTGAGTATTGTTTAGCCTGTACCCCTTTCCGAGTATCCGTGTTTTCCTTGTTTTGCCTTGCCTGTTTTTGCGGTTTCTGATCTTTGCCTGTTTTCCTGGATTTCTCCCTCTCGTCTCGCCCCTGTGATTCTGTCTGCCGATCGGTGACCTACGCTAGCCCTAGGACTATTCTTGTGTTTTTGCCCGCCATATACCAGTTTGCCATTGTTCGACCCTGCCTGTTATACCACGTCTCTTGAATAAAAGCTTGCAGATGGATCCACACGTCTCACGTCTCGCCAGCCCCGTTACACCACCATTGATGGACACAATTTTTTTATAATATTAAAAATATCTGTATGACATTATATTCTGCAGTTCTTCCCTGTTGTACCGAATATCTATACTTTTCAAAGGATCACATCGAAGTTAGAAAAAACTGCCGCGACTAAAAAAAGGTTGGGAAACACTGCATTAAACTGATCAAAAGTGACAGTGAAGACATTTATATTAACCAACAAAAATTTTGAAAACAATTATCATGGATTCTACAACAATATTAAGCTGCACAACTGTTTTTTAACATTGATAATACATGTTTCTCGCAAGTCAGCATATTAGAATGGTTTCTGAAGGATCATGTGACACTGAGGACTGGAGTAATGATGCTTTGCATCACAGGAATAAATGACTTTTTACAATATATTCACATAGAAAACAGCTATTTTGAATTGAAATAATATTACACAGTGTTACTGTTTTTACTGTATTTTTGATCAAATAAATGCATCATTGGTGACCATAAAGAGACTCCAAAACATTTTTAAAACTCTTATCAAGACCTCAAACTTTTGAACAGTAGTGTATCTCTACCAGCTTTTCTGATGCAGTTTTCATTGACTACACTAAAGTCTGATGGGGACGAAGTGCAAAAGTAAAAATATTCCATTGAGAACCCCATATTGCCTTCTGCACTTACATTGAGGTTGAAAGTTTGCTGCACTTCTCTCAGTGTCATTTTGTTGTACAGCACAGTGATGTCATTGCGCTCTTCTGCAGGTGAGGTAGCCTGTTGAAGCACAGAGCTGACACTCACATGACTTATGCATGACATTTAGAGTATCAGAAGCATTTCAGAAAGTTTATGTTTTGCTTTCTCCAGTTCAACTCACGTTCGCGATGTCTGTCTCCAGCTCCAGCACTTGAGTCATGTCCTCCCACACACGCTTTTCATCTTGGGTCAAGTTCCTGTCTTCTCGTGCAATCCTTGCTATGGAAACCATGAACTCCAGGTACGCCTCGCGCACCTGCCCACAGACATACATGACACATGATTCATGTGATTATACCGATAGCATTAAGGGAGAGAATGCATCTCACAAAATGACATAACATACCTTCTTATAATTCCCATCGCTGAGGTAATAATCTCTTGAAGGCATTCCTAGAGCTGGTTGGTCAACCTGTGAAAACAAAAGGATGTAGTTTAATTTGTTATCTGAATTGCTGCTTGATTACAGTATGCATGAGATCATCCAATAGTGGAACGTTCAACGTTAATCCAATGAAAAATCACATTCTGTTTTATTAGCTCATGCTCCAAATGGCATTTTAATCAGATGCTATTAGGTCAAATAAACTGCAATTAGCTTCTGTGTATTTTAAAGGTGATGTGCCACTAAAACCAAACTGACAACTCATAACATCAACTTGGTATTTCTATTGTACATATTCAAAAATATATGGTATACATGGTAATTCATGGTACTACCATACCCAGCAAAAAAAAAAATTGTTTTAAATGTTGTATGAACATTTTGCTAATGTTCCCATTAAGTTATGAAAATGTTATTTTTTGAATGTTCTCTGAATCTTTTTTTTTTTTATGTTTTAAAAATGTTTGTTTTTCCCTTTGGTTTTATGTTAATGTTATAGAAACATTCCAATTTATCATTTTCCAAACATTATGAGAATGTTTCTTTTGAATGTTCTCTGAACATTCTGAAACAAGTACTGTAGTTACATTTAAAAAGTGTTAAATGAATGTTTGAATAAACGTTCTATTAATGTTACTGGAGAACATTTGTTCAACTTTGCTAGAACGTTTCTGTGACTTTCTGTGAATGTTCCCTGTTTGCTAGGAAATAAATATCCAGAAAACATCAAATTACCATCTATGTTTTCCATACTATGGCATTTTTATTAGTCATACAAAAGAATAAACTATACAGTATATACATTAACTTACATGGATAATGTAGCGGCTGGAGTCTCGATCATCTGGCCACACAAACATCTCCAGCACGGCCTTCTTATTGTACCGAGCGTTCAGAACAGCCAGTGTGTCCTCCAGGCTCCACGCTTGCTCTGTGAGATCAGAGTTTGTGGTTTTTAGTCCATGTCTGTTCGCTTTGAGGCAATATATATCTTATACATCTAAGCGTGCTCCCAAAAACTTTGCACAGATACTTGATTAATATCAGTGGTGGACGAAGTACACAAATCAAGCACTTGAGTAAAAGTACAGATCCGAATAAAATATTACTCCAGTAAAAGTAAAAGTACTCCGTTTTCAATTTTACTCGAGTGAAAGTACAAAAGTACTTGATTTTTTATGTACTTAAGTAAAAAGTACCAATAGATGAATGTTTATTTTGCTTATTAGTTTTATATAGGCTACTTTTATCATTTAATTTTATATTAGCATATCTTTTTTATAATCCTACTGCTCAAAATACCTCGGATTTTCCCAAAATAACCAATAAGGAAATAATGAATATAAAAAGGAAATTATAATTAGATTTTCATAATGATTTTTTTTTCTTCTCAAACCTTGTCTGTGATGTAAAAACACCCCTGGCCAAATGCCCCCCGAGGGCATCACTTCCCACTTTGATAATTACTGTAGTTGCCATGTTCTGAACATCACATCCTTTCTTTTTCCCTCAGATGTAATCTATCTAGGTGGTTGAAAAAAAATTACCTCAATTTAGCACCAGCTAGCTCGTTAGCTAGACAGTTAGCATCAGCTAACATTATTGACTTATTTCACCCTTTACAGCAGATTTAGTTCACAAACAACTGACAGCTTTGACCTAAATATGATTTTCAGTTACAATAATTAATCCTAAAATTCGACATTAGTAACTTATTTTAACAGCATCAGATGTGCACGCGCTCACAAGATCTCCCGGTTTTTACTTGTGAATTCAGTTCACTGGAGACTCGCACTAAACGGTTCATTTCAATCAGTGAGTTGTCGACTCGAGAACAGCTGCAATCGGATCATTCCAATTCGTGAATGAATCGTTTGGTGCGATTTGCGAACCGATTTAACAGGTTCATTGAAAAGAATCAGTTCATTCATGAATCAGACACAGCTTCTGCGTCTCAGAGCACATGATATATTATAAGGAGTAACGATAAGTTGTATGAAATGTAGTGAATTCCATATTCTTATGGAATATTTGGAATGTAGTGAAGTAAAAGTTACTTAAAAAAACGACTCCAGTAAAGTACAGATACTTGAAAAATTTACTTAAGTACAGTAACGAAGTAAAACTACTTCGTTACTGTCCGCCACTGATTAATATGTTCTGTTTTTCCTCTATTATCAGCGGTTTTCAAACTGTGGTGGGAACGTAAGATGTGAGAGTGGTGCTGTGTTTCAGAAATTTGGAACATTTCAGAAATATGGAAAATATATGTTCTCAAATACAATCAAAGTTTCTTGATGCGAATAGTTGGTGTTTACATACAGTAGTTTTGACAAGTGTCTCCGTGTCTTTCATGTGCGTATTTCATGTATCACTTTCAAATAGCAATGTTTCCCTGCATTCTGATCCAGTGCCAGATTACCACACCCCCTTATTGAAGCTGCTAGCTGATTGGTTGCATCATTAAGACCAAACCCACCCACATCCACAACCATAATTGGGAATCGGAATTCGGCATAACATACAGCACAATCTGTGTAGTCCGATTCATGAACAAATGAGTCGGTTATTTTAATGAATCGTTTGAAAAAGGTACCCTGCGTCTCAATGTTCATACTATCCATCCTAAATAGTACATGTGAGATTAAAATAAGTGTGTCCCAAAGCATAGTATGTTGAAAGAAGTATGCCAAAAGTCCCCGGATGGTCTACTATTTCAGGTCGATTTTTGAAGTGTGGATCCGTGCACACTCTAATGGCTAATATTACCCACAAACCATTGCACTTTGATGAATGGTTCGGTTGAGAACTACAAACATGAATAAAAAGCGTTAAAGAACTACAAACTTGGTGGATGTGCGCGACAAACGGTTTAATAGAGAGGTTTAGATAAAGGGGTTTGAGTTACTAATAATCAACATTTAACCTGGTAAAAAATTATTTTAAATATATATATATAAATATATATGCTCCTTTATGGCTTATGGTAATGCAATGAAATTGATAAGTAGGCCTACCCAATTTAATTCTTTGACAAGGAAAATGAAAATTGATAGGACAAATGCATTTTTTCTCATTTCACTGAAGAGGACAATTCACTTGATATGTCTTTCATCAACTTCCTGTTTAAATAGAAAATACATTAAAACAGGACAGAAAATTGCATTTGTCAAAGCATTTTAAGGGATCTTGCAACATGAAATCATATTTATTGTGTAAATACACAATTCTAGTCTAACTGCACGTGATTAATCAAGAAAAAAAAATCGAATGAAATGGTTATTATTTTTTGGCTCCATTCTCCATTTAATTATCCAATGAATTCCCAATGGACAAAATCAGGTCCCACATTTTTCTTCTTCTTTTTCACCCAGAAATGCATCACATTACGGAAGTCAAAAGCTTGCAAACGCTGTTCGGCTGACTTTAATCAGCACTGAGTGCATTGCATATCATGACTGGTTAATTTCACTTTTATTCAAAATTCTGGAAACTTAACAAATTACCCATGAAATCACCTGTTGTTTGCATAATAAGACAAGAGTGATGGTTTTCCAAAGACCAGTTATGGTTGTGGTTAAACATCTCCATTGGCGTCTACAACCAGCATACACTGCTTTAAAGGCACATATTAAATCAGTCAGGTGTGTGTCTAGGTTGATGTCTGCATATGTAGATTATACTCCAGCCATCTTCTTCTATTATGTTGAATTATTCTGCTCCTTCTCAAGGTCTATAATGAGCCACAGAGCCAAGCATCACAGTGGGTCACTCTCTTATCTTCTCACCCTCCTCGACACGGCCCTATCTCCCCCTAAACATGACAGATGAGCGGGACAGCACCTGCTCTGTGAAACCACTGGACGTTTCCATCAGTCTAGTGCCTTATCAACACCCAGCGACAGCACTGCTGGAGCGATTGCATTTATCCCATTTAGATAAGCCCAAGATGCTGCCATTCTCTGTGAGAGTGAATTAGAGATGGCCGCCGCTATCTCTAGTACCTGATGTGCCGTTCCAGACCTCAGAGGCCACGGGCCAGTCGCCGATACTGTCAATGAGCCTGAGAAGAGGCTGCGAGTCACGCTGCTCAATCAGAACTGCAGGGGGAAGCAGAGAGATGAGTCTAAATTGGATTTATACACAAAAACAGCATACAGAAACTTAGTAGGTGGCCTTCATTTTCAGTAAAATATTAAACAATTATATATTATTACTTGGATTTTTATTTATATTTTATTAGAGTTTTATTAATATAAATGAGCTTTTTAAAAATTTTAGCAATTTTGTCATGTTCTTTTGTCGGATTTATTAATTGCGTGTGTTTCTTTTTAATATTAGTATTCAGGTTTCATTCATTTTTATTTCAACTTCAGTTTAAATTTGAGTTGTTATTTATTTCCAGTACTTTTAGTGCGTCAATGTATAATTTTGGTTTAGTTTAAGTTTTTCATCTGATATTAATATTTTGTTTCATTTTATCTTTGTTTCAGTTAACAAAAATGTTAAATTAAATAATACTTGTAGTTTAGTTTCGATGCATTAAATAATAGTTTTAGTTTTGGTTAACCATAATAATAACCCTAAAACCAATCAGCTTCGAGATAAATGATAACATTATAGTTTAATTCAAGCCATTTGAAGAAAAAGAAAAAAGTTCAACTTTTGAACTCATTCCATAAAGCATTGCCAATTTGTAGCAAAATCAAAAATGACGATGCAAAATCAAACTCATAGATTATAAAATACAATATATTCAAAGTTCAATATACAAATGTAAAGTTTTGGAGAATGTCGCGGAACTTGATCATGTCATTTGCATGCTATATTTGCAAGTTGTAAACAAAGTTTATTGTAGTACGTAGCTTTTTCAGTCTTTCTACTTCCAAATTTTAATTCAGTGTGTTACTTGCCATTTCTTTGTAAATGTTGTAAAAAAAATTCTGACATCAACTCTAATCATAACAGCATACTAAAAATCAGAACATCAACTATATAATATAGAGTATATATTTATCACAGTATTGTGTACTCACTCTCATTCATGCATGAGCTGTAGAGCGTTTTGGCTTTCTTGAAGGCATCTCTGTCATCCTTACTTTCCATCTCCAGAACTCCTGTGCAATAATAGATCAGCACCAACCAGATAACAATGTCTACACAAAACTATAATACACATCGTGGTTACGTGAAGTTGACGTAACTGACCCTTGAGTACGATCTCCAGCTCATCTCTCAGGATATTGAATACGCTGTGAAGTGAGCTGGTTTCGGGAATGACGTGACGCTCTATCCAGCCTCCGCATGCGTACTGATAGAAGTTCTGGCACGGCTCCACGCTGGGGTCCATGTTCTGGAGCAGTCGGGCCGCTGTATCATTGAACAAGAAATCATTTCAGATCTAGAATATCATGAAGTTTCAGTTGAAGTTTTGAGGTGGTGTAAAGTCAAAGCTTTCAGACGTTTGGTCTTACCGGCAGTGACACACTGTGGGGTTGTACAGACATTGCTGTCAGCGTTTGATCGATATTTCAGCCCTGTTGTGATGTGGGGAGATAAATAACATTCATGAGGTTAATAACACAACTGAGATCATGTGACATAATCCACTCAAACTGCACGTGCAGACTGACGTTCTACAGAGAGAGCTTACTGCTTCAGCTTAACACTGGAAAACTGGAATAATATAATGCAGTTTACTGAAACAAAGTTGCCTTTTATCTTTCTCTTATCAATCAAAACGTAGGCACATTTTGCAAACCTGACACTGGCTGGTTTGAATCACTAATAGTACGCATGACAGTGCTTATGTGTAGTATATATACTGTACATAATATATACTATGTGCAATCATTTAATATTGTACAGCATATGGAGTGATTATACAGGATTTGTGGCAGGACAAAACTCATAAAATGAAAATCAAAAAAAACAGCACAATGAAATGAATGATGTGGATAAAATATGCCAAACTACTCAAAATGTGATTTATGAACAACTTCACAGCATACTGTACCTTTTGAAGATTCATTGATGTTAAAACGCTCTGAAATATAAGAGAAAAATACAAGATCTTAAAGAGAGCTGAAGAACCTTTTGATACAGCAGATGATTCTTGTAGGTAATTTTATGTTTTATGTTTTAAATTATGTGCAAATGTACGAGATATCATTTTATGATATCTCTATACACTTCAATTATGAATAAATAAATATTTTATAATTATTATAAAACAATAATAATTATAAAATATATAAAAATGTATATTAATAATTAATACTAATATTAAGCATTTTATTTTTAATACAATGTTAACTCATATAAATTATTTATTTTGTATAATACATTAATATTCATTTTAAATATAATTTATCAATTAAAATAAACATAATTTAACACTAATTATAAATAAATATAATATTTATAATATTTTATAAATATTAAAAATATTTTATATATGTATTAAACAGTAATATTAATGATTAAATATGAAAATCATTGATATTTAGTTTAAACACAATTTTAATAATTTTCAAATATAATTAAACACTAATTATCACACAATTGTAATAAATAATTTATGCAATTCCTTAATATTAATTTAAAATATTTTTCTGCTTTTCTAGAGACTTCTATAAAAGAAAGGTTGCGCAAGCTGCTCGACGTTGGATATAAACAAATGAATGCAAGTTATTTCTTAATGTATTACAGCGATCTTGAACATGTTTGGGTCTTTTGGGGGGAATTGCAGCAGAAATCGGCTGTTTCCCACCTCTCAGAGCTGAAGTGTAGAGCACAATGAGTCCAGCCAGAGCGCAGCTCATCAGAAGCACAATGACAGACAGTCCGATCTCCACTACAGTCCAGCGATGCTTCCTCGGTTTAGTGCTTTTCTCCATGATATCCATTTGGCTCTCTGATTTTCCCATTCTTGGAGCTGTGGAATAGAGTATTGAAGTGTTGGTGGAGCGGACCGAGTGCGTGCATAATTGTGTCTGAAAGCCACAGGTGGAGCATCAGTGCATCCTGTTTTCGACTTTTCCCCCCCAAAAAAACAAAAAAAAAATGTTTACGTGGAAGTGGTGTAGTTACTGAATAAGAGAGTGATATATTTACACACTTCAAACAATGCTCCAAAGCGACCCGAAATAGGCTACATAGTTTTTGTCCAATGAATTGAAATACAAATAAAAACGCTTTTAAGAAGATTGCACTCACACAGATGAATCTAGAGGTCAAATGTTTGGTTTATAAATTACAAACTTCACCTTTAAAATCAACGTGAATTATCATTCACAACCCATTTTATTTTGATAATAAGATGTATTTTTAAATAAAATGACGGATTCAGTATGAAAGGGGGCGGGACTTGAATTAATCCATCGATTGATTGGATTGTCCGGAGGCCATTCTGCCACGGGATAAGAAAAAAATAAAAAGACAATTGGGACTTTTTTTTATCTCAGAATCCAGACTCCGAATTGCAAGAAGTCAACTCGGAACTCTGAGAAAAATGTCAAAGTTTATATCTCACAGTTCCGACTTTTTTGTCTTAGAATTGCAAGAAAAAAATCCAAAGTGTGAGATAAAAAGCCGCAATTATTTTATTTGGTTATTGTTTTAGCCCGTGGTGGAAACTGTCTTCCATAGTAGAGTACACACCAGAATTATGCAAATCTGAATGCGAGTTTGCCATAACAATACCAGATTTTCTAATACTGGAGCAAGCTTTTTTTCTTTCTTTTGAATAGCCTGCAGTGATGAATCGTTAACAATAGGACCGAGAATGTGTATTAAGAAAGTAAACAGGACCATTTGATTTCATATTAACTTGAAGACATTAGGCAACCAACACATGACGCAGTTAATGTATATATGCACTTGGTTAATGCACTCAGAAGGAGCAGCAGCTTTGTGCTGGTTTCATTTTTAATGATGGTTAGATTCAAGCAGGGCTATATATAAGGCATTCTTGAGATGTCTCCTACCTCATCACATCATAAAATGTATGTAATCTGCGGAAACCTGACGTGTTTCAGAAATGGTGTTTTGCCTCGTATTGGTGTCAGCACTTTTTCTGTGTCTTGGAAGCTGGAAAGTGCTGATAAATTTCCTGTAAAATTTTTAATTTCCTGACTCAATTGATGTCTGAAAGCAAAACAATGATCATAGAAAACAGGCTCATCTGGAAATGAGTAGTTTTTATATTGAGTTTCTTGTGATGTTAGTTTTAAAGCTGTCAGCCCCTTTTGCAGAAGGCAAAAATTATATACAGTATGCTTTTGGATTCTTAACCATGTTGATAAATACACACAAATACATGACTATGTGTATGTGTATGCACTACAACATTATTAGAGACATGCATTTAAACTACTGTTTGCACTAAATCCAATTTTTCATATTTTTGATACTATGAAACATATATTTATGCAGTATTATACATAGTATATATTGTCTCTCCCAAATCTTGTGCGTCTGTCCATATCAATAAATTGTATTTCCCACATACACCAAACAACAACATTTTTGCAGGTCAAAGGTCAGTTGCATTTTTTAATGTTCAAATATTCCATGTAGACTGTCAATTAAAACGACACTTGGGCTAACTTAAACTTAACATTTAATAATGATAAACTGTTTAAAAAATATTTTTAAATGAAGCGCATGTCACAAATTTAGGCTTGCATGCAATTTTCATTTATCATTTTCATTTATCACTTGACATGGTGACCAGTACCTCTCCAAACCACTCATTTGCATATACGCATTAAGAAAATTTGAATTATTTTTCTTAGAGAGAAAATTATAGCTTATAGCTATAGAGTCGCATGCAGCAATGCCTTTGATCAAGCAATCTAGTCGAGAAAAAACAGAAATCAATAGACAAGAAGCTGCATTAATCTAACCAATGACTAAATCACGAAAATCAAGAATAACTGATGGGCAAAAATCAATGGAGAAGCATTAATTAAAAGTCCAGCTGTTTGCATCCATCTCTAAAAACGGTCCATAACTCCACCTGTAAACTTCAAAGAAACTCTTCAATTCAATTTCAACACAAAACCCCCTCACACTGTAGAATATGCAAAGCCATACCTCTCTGAAGATGGAGTCCTTGTTGGCCGTTAGGACGCCTTTCAATTTCCCAAACACCCCTTCTGAGTTTACACCCAGAGCTGGTGTGTGGTGAAATGAATCAGCGTCCAGACAGCTGGATGTCGGAGCGGCTGTCTGTGCTGATGTTCCTCTGACTGACTAACTGACTGAGTGAGGGAGATGCAGAAAAGAGGAAGAGAGAGAGAGAGAGAGGGAGGGATGTAAAGGAGGAGGGGCGATCGAGGCGCTATTTTTGCCTGATGCTGGTGGTTTGAAGAAAAATCAAGAGGGGCTTTAAGAAGAGGGACAGATGGATGGTATCAGTAAATAACAATTACCATATATATGTATGTAAATACATGTGTGTGTATTAGTATATTATGAATTATTAATAACTATACATTAATTATTGTATGTATATATTAAAATATGTTCATATATTAATTAAAGATTCAAATATTAATAGTTATATATAATAAAACTATTAATTACACACATACTGTAGATACAAATGCAGAACACATTATATATTGTATCAATAAATATCAATAATTCATATATATATATATATCAGAATCAGAAAGAGCTTTATTAAGAGCTTTATTGCCAGGTATGTTTGCACATATGAGGAATTTGTTTTGGTGAAAGAATCTTCTACAGCACAAACACATTACAGTGACAAGACAGATAATAAAAGTAGAATAAGTAAATAGGAAATAATGAAATACAACAAATATTTTAAAAAGTACACACTATACAAATAGACAATGGATGACATTTGTGTACAAGTATGTTATGTACAAATGCAAGGAAATGTGAATAAGAAGCACGGTGTTTTAAATAAATAAATGTATAAATAGTGTTGTGTATTACACGATTATTGCCAAGTTAACTGTTGATGAGATGGACTGCCTGAGAGAAGAAACTGTTCTTATGCCTGGCCTTTCTGGTGCTCAGTGCTCTGTAGCACCGACCGTACAGCAACAGTTCAGAGAGGAAGTGGGCTGGGTGTGAGGGGTCCAGAGTGATTTTGCCAGCTCTTTTAATAATTTTGGATGAGTGCAGTTCTTGGTGAGTGGGGAGGGTTGTGCCAGTGATTCGCTCAGCAGTCTGGACTATCCGCTGGTCTGATTTGGTAGCTGAGCTGAACCAGACAGTTATTAAAGTGCAGAGGACAGATTCAATGACTGAAGAGTAGAACTGTATCAGCAGCTTCTGTCTCAATGTGCTGTTCACAGTGCTGTTCATGATGGTGAGTGGGGAGGAGTGCAGGGAGGTTCCTCCTTAAGTCCACGATCATCTCCACTGTTTTGAGCATGTTCAGCTCCAGGTTGTTATAATTGCACCAGACAGCCAGCTCTTTAACCTCCTGTCTGTAAGCAGACTCATCACCATCCTGGATGAGGTCGATAAGTCTGGTGTCGTCTGCAAACTTCAGGAGCTTGACAGAGGGGTCAGTAGAGGTGCAGTCGTTGGTGTAGATGGAGAAGAGCAGTGGGGAGAGAACACATCCCTGGGGGGCACCAGTGCTGATTGTGCGGCTGTTTGACATCAATTTCGCCAGTCTCACTAGCTGCTACCTGTCTGTCAGGAAGCTGGTGATCCACTGACAGATGGAGGTGAACACAGAGAGATGGGTTAATTTGGACAGGAGGAGGTTTGGGATTATAGTGTTGAAAGCCAATCTGAAGTCCACGAGTAGGATCCTCTCATAAGTCCCTGGTTTGTCCAGATGTTGTAGGATATAATGCAGTCCCATGTTGACTGCATCATCCACAAACCTGTTTGCTCGGTAAGCAAACTGCAGGGGGTCCAGTAAGGGTCCAGTGATGTCCTTCAGGTGGGCCAGCACATGACTTCATGACCACAGATGTTAAAGCCACAGGTCTGTAGTCATTAAGTCCTGTAATTTTGGGTCTCATGGGATGGGGATGATGGTAGAGCATTCAATATTGAATTCAATTTTGAATGCAGATACCGAAACAGCCAAAAACGGCGATAAAATATTATGTAGAGTTTATATTATTATATTAGTGTGGCTAAGAGAAACTACTCTGAAAAGGTGAGAATCCAGCACCTTTATATGTTTGTGTTTGTGTGTGTGTGCATTTGTGTGTACAATTTTTAATGATAAATATAATTTTTAAGACCTGGCTGTTTCAGTATCTGCATTCAGTGGCCATTTTTGATAAAATGATAAATATATTGATAAATACATTTTTGCATCCAAAACCACAAGAAAACCACATTCACACACATTATATATATATATATATATATATATTAGCACCTTTTGACTGTTTCTGTGTTATAATTTGTGTGTGTGTAATAATATACAATATAGAATTTTAGCCCCTTTTTGGTTGTTTCAGTATCTGTATTCAGTGGCAAATTATTATTATTATTTTAAATGAAAAATTATAAATGTATTGATAACTACATTTTTGCAACCAAAACCATAAGAGAACCAGAGAAAGATTAATCATAATATAAGAATGAAATCATAATAAAACGGGGAAAAAAACATAACTTAAACTTGAGTTTTACATTTTCTGTTAAAAACATGAGTGGTATTTCCCTGTGCAAGTTGCAAAAAGTGGCTGGCAACCACCTAGAACACTCTAGCAACGACCTAGCAATGTGCTAAAACCACTGAGAACACATTAGCAACTGGATAGCAAAGCCCTAAGTGTTTCAAGCAAAAGTTTAATACTTGGTTAGTGGCTTGTTAATAGCATTACAGTAAGCGGAATAAAAAATATCCCAAAGATCTTATTTATTAGCTGTCTTTATTTCACCTCCCAGCACCTGTTAAACAGAGGTAGTTCAAATCTGGAAGAGGAGCACACAGGTTAATGTCCGCTGGCTTCTCATTATTCACAGGCCAGGTGGACTGAAGATGGCAGCACAGTCAGGGAGCTGACAGGAACTGACATTAGCTTGGCGGGGAAGTCAGCTTCACTCCCACCAGTGTCAGATTGAAATGGCATGGTGCCCATACTCATTACCAGCCTGATTAACCACTGTAATTAGCTGATATTAGAGAAAGCGAGAGCCATCGATGGCGGCGATCAGCACTGGTGCAGAACTGCCCAGCTGTCCATATCAGTTAGCCCATCATAACACAAGTCGAGGGATAAATGCTAGAGACCAGAATAGAATGAGAACAACCTTTAGCTCACAATAGGGAACATGGGTGAATGGCTGCTAATTACAGGCGTCCATTAAAGATGACGAAGCTCTGCAGGCTGATCCCGACATATAGAATCAAGATGAGTTTGTTGAACACAAAGTAGATATTCCTTTCAAATTTATATAAGCGCTTTATGGTACAATTTTCTTATAAGCACGCATCTTTCCGCTTCACAGGATGTTAACTGATGGAGTGGTGTGGATTACTTGTGGATTATTGTGATGTTTTTATCAGCTGTTTGGACGCTCATTCTGACGGCACCCATTCACTACAGAATATCCATTGGTGAGCAAGTGATGGAATGCTACATTTCTCCAAATCTCTTTCTGTGAAGAAACAAACTCATCTACATCTTGGATGGCCAGTGGGTGAGTACATTTTCAGCAAATGTTCATTTTTGGGTGAACTATTCCTTTAAGGTTTGTGATTTGAACAAAACTCTAATCCTAGTTTGCCCATGCACTAATCATTTACATTTTAGGACAGCAATATGGTGCAGAAATGACATATTTGACCGTTAAAATCAATGTGAATTACCATTTACAACTCATTTTACTTTGATAATATTTATTTCTAAATGAAACATCGCATTTGATATGAAAAAATGATGGGGTGGGACTTGATTCAGTTAGAATTAAACACCAGAATTGTGTCAATCTGAATGCAAGTTTGCCTCAAATAAATAATAAATAGACAGCAATTAAAAGCATTAGCAAAAGTGAAATATTCAATTTTGAACTATTAATCTCAGCATTTGTCATAGTAAAAAATCCAACATAATTGTATATGCATTATTGTAATATTAACAACAAGACTCACAAAAGAACAAGTACTACTCAGAGAACAAAATATCATTGCAATAAATATTAGTTCATAAGCAGAAAGCTCATTTAAATAATGGGCTTTTAGCAAATATTAGCTAAGCTGCTGTTTTAAGATAAGAGTTCCACCTTAACAGCTTAATTAAAAAGCTTTCAAAGCTTGTCAAAGCTATGTTCCTAATCATTGAGACAGTGAAGAATTTACCTGAGCGTACTCAATCTTCAGTCTTACACAGCACGGCAAATAAATCTCTAATGACTGAATTTGTTCTCTGTGCACCGGTACACAATTAGACACGTTTTGCCAAGAAGAGCCGAGTCCTCAGTCTGCTCCCAGGTGCCTGAGCATTCAGATGACAAGCCATGAAGCCAGTAATAAGTGCATGCAGACATCTGAGACCAAGAGCATTTATCTTTGCTTCTTGTCACATTAGAGGCCGCAGGTTCACGTATCAGCTACAACTCAGAGGGAGAAGCACGTCTTCACATTAAGGCCTATATGCAGGAGAGGTTTTATTTTACTAAGAGAGTTCATTGTGCTGCATAAGATTAAAGTGCAAAGGTGCACAATAGCGCTTGGAAATTCTGCTGATGTTACGTTTAATAAACATGCATCTTGGTTCCAGGAAATTGCAGCCGTACAGAAGCATATATTAAGGTCAACACTTAGGCAAATGCTCTTTAAATGGCAACAATCAAACTGGATTTTGACATTTTCTGAAGAAAATGTGCTCGTGTAAATCTCACGACCATGAAGTGGTTTCAATTTAACGTAAGGCAAGACATGCACTGGTCAGTTTGGTGATTTTGGGCTATTTGGCTTTTAATAACGTGTTATTACAGACTAGTGGAAAGACAACATGCAAAATACACTTTTAAGTGTTTATTTTATTGCACTTTATCTATATGCATCTGTAGATTTCAATTACAATACATATATTTAAAGGCTGTTAATGAATCAATTGTATTTTATTTTATTATTTTTGGCTGTTGATAGTATTTACTGATTTATGGAGTGATAAAAAGAGATTTAACTCGGTCAACAAAATGAAACAAGAATTATGAAACTTACTTTAACCAATGTTAAGATTTCTGCTCTGGAAATGTATGCAAATGAATGCATATTTAATTAGATAATGCCCCTTTCATACTTAAACATAACATTTCATAAAACTTGTAATACAAAATAGTTTTTTTGCCATTCTTAACATAATCGATCAACTGGGGAAGTTTGATTATTAGTATTACTATTAGTTACATTTTTTACCCTATTCTAGTTTGCCCTAACAGAATTTTCATGTATTTTATCATCCACCAGGCAAAGATAAAAAGATCATGTCTGCAGCTAAAATTATGCAGGACTATTTATGCAATAAAGTTTAATATTTAGGGTTAGTGATGTGAACAAACCCCTATTAAACCAGCATATACTGTATCGTTGCATGCACTTAAAAGAAAATGTTTTTATTACATTATATATTTTTGTTTTATTAAGATTATGGTGCCAATTTATATGGGCATTTTTACACTCTTAAAAATCAAGATTCTTTATTAGCACAGATGGTTCCATGACGTACCTTCATACAGTCTTGCCACTCCTTTATTATATAAAAAAAGATTGCTTCGATTTTTAAAATGTTCTTCCCACTAAGAAAAAAAAGGTTTTTAAGAACCAATGAAAATGGTTAAAAATGGTTTTAAGAACAGTTCACGGAAAAGGCTCTTTAGGAAACCCAAAAAATGCCTATTCTATGGAATCATTGCAAAAACCCTCTTTTGGAACCTTTATATTTATTTTGTAATTTACAATACATGAATTCATCCACATTTATGTTCATATGAGCCAATTTGTTTCACATAATCAAAATGCATTTCCATATTTGGTGAATATATGCACAAATTTGTCCAATTAACAGTGTGACGTACTATGATGCCTTAAGTTAAAGAAAAGGAATTGCATGCTGGAGGTGAGCGAAACGACTGCTGAAGACGTCTGTCTTTAGTCCAAGCAGCTCTTGGCAGATTGATGGGCCTCGGTCATGGTGTGGTGACCTGCCCTACACCACACACTCATTTCATTGCTGATTGACTGCTATGTTCCCTTCAGGAGATTTACTGCTCGAATTTAACTCATCAGACAAGGAACAGAAGGTGCAAAACAAAGAGACGGCAAGAGGCCATCAGTCACAGTACACCCTGTAAACGGAAAATAACTTTTTGTTTGGCCAATTAGCTCATGAATAATCTCAGAAAAGCTAGCATTAAACTAGCTTTGGACTTAAATCTAATATTGCTTAAGATCTCAAAGCTTAGCGGTCAAAAAACTCTGAAGACCAATGTTCCAAGTCAACATAAAATCAAGTGGGCCCCTATTTACTTTCTTAAAGGAATAGTTCACCCAAAAAATTATACTCACTCTCAGGCCATCCAAGATGTAGATGAGTTTGTTTCTTCTTTGGAACGGATTTGGAGAAATGTAGCATTCCATCACTTGCTCACCAATGGATCCTCTGCAGTGAATGGGTGCCGTCAGAATGAGAGTCCAAACAGCTGATAAAAACATCACAGTAATCCACAAGTAATCCAAATGACTTGTGAAATGTTAAGACGCTTTTAACTTCAAACAGTTGTTTCTGGCTAGCACATAATTAAACATTTGCTTTTCTCCAAATCTGTTAAATGAAAAAACAAACTCATCTTCATCTTGGATGTCCTGAGGGTGAGTACATTTTCTGCAAATTTTCATTTTTGGGTGAACTATTCCTTTAATTCATATTCTTGGTCAGATTGTGAAAATCTTATTGGTAAAAAAAATCGAAAAAATAAAATAATAATTCTCAAAATAATAATCATCAAAATGAATCAGAATAACTTTTTTGGCCAACATCATCAAACCCTCTTGTTTTTCACCCTCTCCAAACACCTGTTAAATAAATATCAAATAAAAACAAACAAACCAACAGTTGTGATTCTATCAAATATAGCAATGTACCACGTTTCAAAAGTGAAATATTTCTGATTTTGCCATTTAGCAGAGTCTTTCTTATCCAAAGTGATTTTCCTACAACAAAGGGCTTTGCTCAAGGTTTCAGGATCTAAACCCACAACACTCGGGTTATTAGCCAAGATCTTTAACCACTAAGCTGCACTTCTCAAAAGAGCCTTGTGATAGCACTTTTAATCACATGCACAACAAAATAATTATGCTGTACTTTAGGCGTCTGCTAACCTGTTATTACTGCCCATGTTACCAAGGCAATGCGAGGAAGTGCATGAATTCCCTTGTGTAGAGGTTGACCTCTCTTTCGCATCATTACAGTCACTTTACTGTTGTTTTATACAGCAGTGAAATGATTTTGATAATTCAGAAAGTGAACTGTCAGACCTTGTTGCCCCGAGCTCGTGTGTTCTTGCTATATTCAACAGCACTTGGCTTGAGACTTTTCATCTAGCCGGCTAATCCGTCTTATCTTAATAACATCCACCCTCTATCTGGCACATTGCAGAAACAATCGACCCAAAAGTGCTCTTTTATCAGCCTGTTCAATATCAGGATACCTGTTCTACAGAAACCTCCTCGGCTGATCTTATCGCTTTGACTCGACTGTTTATCAGGATTTTTCACTGTGACAAGTTCACATTTTTGTGCTAAATATACTTTTATTCTGTTAAAATGTTATGCCTTTAAATTCATATTCAATATTTGAGCATGCATTCTAAGAAAATATATTTCCCTACATATTAACCATCAATGTATCAACTAGTTGAATGTATATTGAAAATATACAGAATAATATATTGTGTTAATAGATTATAATATATTAAATAATACATAAGAAAATGGCTGCTTTTCATATATTGAAAAATATGTGACAATATATTTACTTATATATTGTAATGTATTATATTCAATAATACACTTGATAATATATATGGTACTGTGTGTATATAAACATATTTGGTGCAATATATGTACACGATATAGAAAAAAAAAATATATTGCATATACATTGTGGAATATTACATATATATTGTGGAAGTGTGTGTGTGTGACTTTAGTAAGACATTTGTTTTTTTCTACTTGTATAACTTGTGACATGAAAGTTTATGAATATGTGTTCAACGTTATGTGTTAACTAATGAAAGAGAAAAAAAGTTTCAATAAAGCTATTACATGCAAATCATAGTGCAGTTTTGGTCTTCATTGCTCTGTATTTTATTTATATGTATCAATATATAGCCATGCGTGGTTCATGAATATATTGCAGTAGCCTATACTAAAAAGTACTAGTTTCCCATATATGGAAATATATGATTTACTATATCACATTATATTTTCCAGTATATTCCCATATATTTTTGTTTGGGGAAGCTATTAAGATTTCAGGACTACAGAAATCCAGTTTTACGACCTCGAGCTTCACTAATTCTGGTAATGGGAAACAGTTCAAAATATGAATCTGAAACATATTTATTTCTTAGAATTGTCCTCTTGCTCATCACACATCAACATTTTTAGCAGTTAGCATAAAAGCCCAATTTAAATTAGCCAAATACTGCCCTCTGTTGGAATATTTAATACATAAATCCACATGCAACTAAAAGACATATTTTACTTTTATCTATAATTCTCTAACATTTAAAAGAAACTGTTTTCTTAGACCCTGTGCAACCTGTTCTGAAGTATTCCACTATTTACATCTTGTCCACATGTTGGTTTTTCTTCCTTCAGCCGTGATAAACGATCCCTCATTAATGAGCTATAAAGTATTCAAGCAGCATGCAATAATTGTCTACAGCACAAACTGTGAAGCGAGAAATTATAGGTACGGTTAGGGGTGACCCGACTCCGTGACCAGCTCTGTTTAATGTTAATGGGATGCAACACAACAGTGCAGTGGTCAGTCTAATGACATTGCACTTGCCTGGACACCTCCGAACACATGAAAGACGTGCTCTGAATAAGGAGAGACACTAGTGTGCACTGCGCTGCAGGACAGCGTCCATGGCATTACTGTCCTCCTCCTCACTAGCGCGCGCATGCTGTGCTTTGATTGCTGCCATTATGTCCAGACAGCATAACTGAGAGTCACGCTGAACACTTCGAATCAAAACACAAGATGCATGGGCACATGTACAAATAAATGTCAATTCATTTGAGAGGTTTAAAGCGTACTGGGGTGTGCAATGTTGTAAAAAAAGAGGATTTATAAATAAATAAATAAATAAGCTTTATGAAATCATATACTGATGCTTGGATTTTATTCCCAAATGCAACGAAATAGTTTTTTTTAATAGATAATAGAAATTCTATTAAAAAAATTATATTGCATATAATTAAAATAATTGTATATATATAAGGCTGCCATTATGTGCTTACAAATATAGTAAAAAACAATATTGTGAAATATTATTACAATTTGAAATAATAATTTTCTATTATAATATATTTTAAAATGTCATTTATTCCTGTGATGTAAAGCTGAATTTTCAGCATCATTACTGTAGTTTTTAGAAATCATTCTAATATGTTGATTTGATGCTTGGGTGTGTGTGTGTGTGTGTGTGTGTGTGTGTGTGTGTACCTACTTAACCATATTTTGGGGACAAATTTGTTTTGGGTTGTACCCAAAAGTGAGCAAAACCTGACAAAATCGCCAAAAACCTCCTCTTGGGGATGTCCTCATTTGTAAACTGGTATAAAAATAAAGTAAACAAAGTTAGTAGGGTTAGGGGTGGGTTTAGGTTAAAAAGTGTATAACTATCTATATAAAAACAATAGAAGTCTGTGTAATGTCCCCATTTAGATAGTTAAGTAATCTATTTTGGTGTCTGCATTAAGGTACACATTTTACAAAAGTGATTTTATAAAGCATCTTAAATGCACGTGAAGTGTCTACTTCAATGTTTTAAATCAATGATCAAAATACGGGTGAAATAATGTTCAACCATCATTCAGTGGAAAAAAAACGGCACACTTAAATTCTGACCTGTACTCATTAAAATATGTAAAAGAAAAAGTGACCATACTACATTTTTATTGTATTTTAAATGATTAAAAACTTCTTGCTGACAAACGCGGGTAAACCGAGTGGTTTGAAAGATAGTGGTAAAGAATAAAAATGCCTTTTAATTTTATTTTGGGGGCTGCACTGATTGTTCATGTCATCTAATGATGCTTGTTCTAAATATTCTTTTGTAAATCATGGTTAAATGTATGATCTCATCATATATATGCGCTTTTTTGTTTTTTCACACAAAAGTGTGTATAATATATGTATGTATGTGTGTGTATATATATATATATATATGTATATGTGTGTGTGTATATATATATATATATATATGTGTGTGTGTGTGTGTGTGTGTGT